GAATTCTGTGGCTCGAATGGTTCTTGAGAAACTTCGAAAAAAGCAGCGTTATGTTCAAGTGGATTTTGCAACTCAAAAAAAAACCACGCAAATCTAAAACTTTTGAATTCAAGCATTTTTTGAGAAAACTGCAACATTTTCTTATCGATGGTTCACTTTCTAAAAAGGCCATTTAATTCTCTTTGGAATGATGTAAAAACGAGCGTTCTTGCTCATGTTGCCCCNNCCCCCTGAATTTAAAGCTGGATCCGCCCCTGGTTGTATACGTTAGAAGCACACACCGAAGAAATCCAATGCTCGAAAAAACCGTCCAAATCGAGTTATGTTCAATACCAAACTAACCATTTTTCAAATATCGCTTTTAGGTCCTTTAAGGACTAGAATGGGTTCCAAATATTTTGCACGATTGCCACAAAGCGAAGTTGTTAAATTAATTATTTAACAACTTCAACATAACAAAGACTTACTGTCTTTTGTAAATCAGGCTGAACACATTATGGCTTTGGTCTCGTTTCAACATGAGATGATTAGAAAACTAGTACATAATGCAATATAACATTAAAAAAATGTCATCAATTGTAAAAGGTAAAACTATGTATGTTCGTAGATTCATAAACGAATATCTACACTAGTCAGGATATTTTCTGTTCTTTGTTAGAATGGGTTTTATTATATATTTTTTTCATATTGCATTATCTTTTTTTAAGCCAGAACTTTCGGTCTTTCTGCTCTTGTATACATTCATTTTCATCTTATGCTAAATAAAAAACCAAAAAAATCTTGGATCTCGGCTTACACTAAAAATCAGTTATGTTTGTTAGTGTTCAAGTAACGTTGTTTGTAGAGAAACAGAAGGAGGATTGTCTCGTTTTGTGAGCCTAAGGGGATTAAATAAGCTCCAGTTGTGGGGATTATTGTTCCACCTTGTTTGTAATTAAAGCAGCCTTTAGATTCTTTTTGTCCTTTGGGTTACTTTTGTTCTAACGTTTTTTGAGCATCTAATGAATTTTAGTTTTTGGTCTAATTTTATCCTGTTTTGTCTGTCTGCACCTTAGTTTCCTTGAAAAACAATAAATTTTCAAATTATTTAATATAAAATGTACAATTGTCTCTTGCAGTTTTGTGAAAGCTTGAGGCCTGAGCAGATTTTTGCTCTCTAATTTGCACACTTTCAGAAATCCTTGCTTAACCCGTCTCATCCCGAGCATCGATACATTTTTGTTGTGGAAAGTGTTAGTTACTACCACCGTTTTTATATTTTATTTTATATATTGGAGAATGTTTTTTATCAAATGAATTAGCCATTCTTCGGCCAATGCTTGAGTGAGGTTTTTTAAGGAAATCCTTTTCCGCGTCGGTCCTGAAAGCCTGAGAAACTCCAGCCTTCATTCTTTTTACTCTAAATGTGAATTAAAATTTATCAACATTAAATAATTAATTTTTAATTTCTAATATACATTGTTTATGTCAATTTAACCGATTGTTAAAATATCCTAATCATTTAGTTCTCAACCTGTTCTTTTTCGAATGTTATAATTATCTTTGAAAGCAGTTTGGATTGCTCCTGTCCTCAGATGTTTTACAACTATTTTCTTATAATTTTATAAATTTCGATTCTTTGTGTGGTACTTTTTTATTATTTTAAACTATTAAAATCTCAAAGCAGGATGTTTAATGGCAGCGCTGAGTTTCCAATCCTCAACTCAATCCAACTCTCAAAATGTTTATATAAAAGCCTCAACGTACGTTCTATAAATTGTTTTTTTATTCAAAACCTGGTGTCTCAGAACAGGTGAAAATCCTTCCGAATTCCCATAGTACATTAAAAATTATTATTCTTCAGTTTCTATCAAAAGTTTTAGAACGATAAGGACTCTTAAAAATGCTGTTGCAAGTGAAAATTACGCATTTTTTAAGCGAGTTATGTAATAATTCAGATTAAATTGTCATAAAATTATACCTATAAACGGACAGTTAAATACCTTCTTTGGTAAAGACACAAATTGTATTAGAAAAGGTGATTTTGAAAGGAGTTGGAGAAAGCGCCTGTTTTTTCTTCGAGAAATTTTGCAACAAAATCGGCAATAAAACGCGCAAAATACACAATTAGTTCTGGCAAATGAAATCAAACACTAAACATTAATCTGACTGTATTTGCTATAGGTTTCTTTAAATCCTGTCCGAGTTCTCAGTGAGAATGCTGAGGAAGAACGAGGAGAAATTGCTCGTTTGAGCAGCTTTGTGGGCGCAATTGCCATTGGCGACTTGGTCAAAAGCACTTTAGGACCTAAAGGTAATGAATCTATGAAACATAATCGCGCTTTACTAAAGCACGCGAGAGTAATCATTTGGTAGTCAACTTCTAAGTTGTTGAGTTGTGTTGAACTCAAAGAATGAAAGCTTAATGTTTAGGTATGGACAAGATTTTGGTGTCCAGTGGCCGAAACGCTGGTTCAGTAGAGGTCACTAATGATGGAGCAACGATTTTAAAGTCAGTAGGCGTGGATAATCCGGCTGCAAAAGTTTTGGTCGAACTGTCCAAAGTGCAAGATGATGAAGTCGGAGACGGCACCACGTCCGTTACAGTTTTAGCTTCAGAGCTGCTGAAAGAAGCGGAAAAACTCATCGACCAAAAAATCCATCCTCAGATCATCATCAGTGGCTGGCGAATGGCTTTGGATATTGCTCGAAGAGCGCTCTCTGAAGCAGCCGATGTATGTAAAGAACGTTTACTAAGTACAGCCCAAACTCTTTAATTTGCTTGTAGGACAATAGCGCGGATTCAGAGAAATTTCGCATCGATCTGATGAATATTGCTCGCACTACTTTGAGCTCGAAGATTTTGTCCCAACACAAGGAACATTTTGCCAAATTAGCGGTGGAGGCCGTACTAAGGTTGAAAGGATCGGGTAGTCTTCAAGTGAGTATCGCTTAATTTTCGTTACACACGGAGGTTTATTTCCATAAATCCGTAAAAAAATCAAGATCAAGAGCGGATGTTTTAATTCAATAAAGCAAATTCTGTACGTTGAAAGTTCCTAGAAAGAAACCTAGAAATGAAAGGTTGTAATAAAAAATTTAAATGTAAGTAAGTCACTGTCGACGGCTTGCTTTGAAGCAGCCTGTTTATTTAAATTCAGCATTAATTTATTGTTTTATTTTATACTTATTTATCTATTGTCTATTACTTGTTTATCGATTTGACTATTTTTGGCAAATTTCTTGGATTTCGGGAAAGCAATTGCGAAGTTTTTTCCGTCCGTTTTCTTGCACGTGGAAACAATATAATTTCTAATACATACAGGGCGGTGGAACCAAGACGGGTTGGAAGTCTACGATTGTGTGGAGTGTAATTTTGGAATTATTTTCTATGCGATGTTGGAATCCCTAGTGGGGGATGTTTACAAAAATCCGTGGAGTATCAAACTCTTGTTTTTCTTGCAAATAAGGAAATTTTTCATATCAGGTTTAATGCGTGTGCAGTAAATAGTTTTCCGGATATAGACACTTAAATTTGAAAACAGTGTCATATTTATAACAGCTCTGTACTAAATATGTATTTCTGACCGCAGTCCCAATAAACCTTAAATCAACATTATTCTTATTTGGAAACGTTCCAACTACGACATATTGATACAGGGTCTTCCATTTAAAAAGAAACATAAGTTCGACCCTTTAAACTGTCCCAAATTTTGTTACAAAGTTCCAAAATGGTTGAAAACATTTAACTAGTAGATTTTCCAGTTAGATTTAACCCGAAAAAAGTCGATTATTTAGTCGACTATCGACTTGTCGATAACATCGACAGTTTTTCATATTTGGACAACGCAAACTGTCCCGCAAACCTTCAGCTTCATAAATTCAGGAACATAATGGAAACCAAAATCATGTTATGTATGTGTTTTCTTTTCATAGGCAATCCAAATAATAAAAAAGACCGGCGGAACCTTAGAAGAATCCTTCCTTGAAGAAGGTTTTCTACTTGATAAGAAACCAGGTGTTCATCAGCCGAAAAAGGTGGAAAACGCTAAAATTTTAATAGCCAATACACCTATGGATACTGATAAAATTAAAGTATTTGGATCTACCATTAAGGTAAGCGATGAAGAGTGTATAACTGACATAACATGTATTGATGGTGCATTGATTTTGTAGGTGGATTCCATGGCTAAAATAGCTGAGCTGGAAGTTGCCGAGAAGGAAAAAATGAAAGATAAAGTGAACAAAATCCTTAGTCACAATGTCAATGTGTTCATCAATCGGCAATTGATTTACAATTACCCTGAACAGTTATTTGCAGATGCTGGTATAATGGCCATTGAGCATGCAGACTTCGATGGAATCGAAAGGTATTGGGAATTGAGGCTTTTTGGTTTTAACATTTCCGATTAATATATTTATCGTTTTCAGATTGGCCTTAGTTACTGGAGGAGAAATCGTATCCACATTTGATGATCCCAGTGCCGTCAAATTAGGAACTTGCGATCTAATTGAACAAGTCATGATTGGAGAAGACACTTTACTCCGATTTAGTGGCGTTGCTCTAGGAGAAGCTTGCTCAATAGGTGCGCTCAACTCTATGCAGGGTCAGAGTATCCCGGAGTATATGGGCAAAAACAAGTTTGTATAAAAAAATTCCAGAGGGCCCCCTACGGAGATACAGGGTTCTAAAGGAGCCACCTGAGAATCGATTTTTTTTAACTATCTTGGAATACTCCATGCAATTTAATTATTGTTTCGTACAATGAACAGTATATCATTGCTCTTAAAAAGGTCTCATGAAAACATTTCAGTTACCATCCCTGGTATACCAGGGATGGACTAGGTGGGGCACAATAATAGTTAGTTTTTTACCCTTTACAGTGACCCGAAAATAATGTATTTAAGTAGCTTTAACCTTAAACTTAAAAAAATGCACTTGATTCATATCGATAAACAGAACGGTTTTCGAGGAAAAAATATTTTTATTGAAAACGGGTTTACTGAACAATTTTGTATGTAGGTTCAACATGAGCTCCTTCCAATCTTGTGCACGAGATTGTAGGTTGTTGCGTTCTCCACAATGCTTGAACATTGGTTCTTATTTGGCCGCAATGAAAATTACTGCTTTCTAATAAGTTTTCCCTATGGTTTCTGACAGGAGTGGCATACACTAGTTTTGAAATATCCTCCCAAAAAAAATCTAAAGGGTTGAAGTCTGGCAATGGAGCAGGCCATGCCATGGGTCCTCTTCAACGTTGTCCGAATTGCGTGTTTAGTCTGTTAGGCAATACGTATGATCCTATTAAATGTCCGATGATTCCAGCCCATATATTAATGGGTTGATCGTGAGTCACAATCAAAGCCTGCAGATTTTCTTCTGCTTATAAATGCAAGCTATAGGAGTTTATTGCGCCATGCTTAGAAAATCCTGCTTCGTACGTAGTCGTTACTGAACTGGCATTATTTCTGTGCATACGTAAAAGCCAGTTCGAAAATTTCATCCTTCGTGGAAAGTCTTCAGGAAGAAGTGCATGAACCTTTTGTAGGCGATAAGGATGCAATTGCTGTTCCGTAACTATCCTAAAAACTGTAGATTTTGGACAATTACCCGTCTCTCTTAAACGACAATCCACTCTTTCAAACGTTTTTCTATCCGGTACTCTTCGGTTTGGAAATCGTTAAGCGTAAAGCATTTTGGCTTCTACGGCATCGCATGCTGCAAGTCTATACATTAAGTGCATGTCAGCATGTCCCGAAAATGTAAATTCCATTATGGAATAAATTAAATTTAAGAATAAGATAAATTTTGCTGCACAGCACATCTGCTGCATGCAAAAATACCTTTTCCTCGAAAACCGTTCTGTTTATCGATATGAATCAAGTTTCGTTTTTTTAGTTTAAGGTTAAAGCTAAAAGGTAAAAAAATTGACTATTATTGTGCTCCATCTTATCCATCCCTGGATGGGTTCCTAGTCCATCCCCAAGATGCAAAAGATGTGTTGATGGGTCCTTTTTAAGAGCAGTGATGCACTCAGTTCATTGTATGAAAAAATAATTAAATTACTTAAGTATTCTGTTATTAAAAAAAAAAATCGATTCGCAGGTGGCTCCTTTACAGGCCTGTAGGGGGGCCCTCTGGAATGTTTTTTATAGAAACTTGTATTTTTTATAGAGCATGCCCACATATTCCGGGACACCCTGTACTCTATTCCAGGACGCCCTGGCAACTGGAAACTAATGAAAATGTATCTACATTTGCAGTTATTCGCGGAGCCACACATCAAATCATTGAGGAAGCCGAAAGATCTCTACATGATGCCTTATGTGTGCTCACTTCCACAGTGAGAGAACCCCGTGTAGTTTATGGAGGAGGATGTAGCGAAGCTCTGATGTCTGTGGCAATTACTAAAGCTGCTGTGGATTGTCCTGGCCAGGAAGCCTTAGCGATGGACTCATTTGCTAGGTAAGTCCTATATTTTAAAAGATCCTCAATTAATTGCGCTCTCTTTGAAAAAATGTGATTACCATGTGTTTTTAAGAGCTTTACTGCAGTTGCCCACCATCATAGCTGATAACGCTGGATTTAATTCCGGAAAGTTAATTGGGCAATTAAGATCGGCGCACAATAATGGTAATTATTTCCAATGGTTGATGAAAGAAGATATATTAAACATTTATCCGTTTAGCTAAACTCCAGGGCCGCACGGGAATAAACATAGATAATGGCGAAGTTACGGACATGTTGGTTCGGGGTATAACCGAATCTTTTGTCGTAAAGCGGCAAGTGTTGGTATCGGCTGCAGAGGCAGCCGAAATGATTTTGCGAGTAGACAATATCATTAAAGCCGCACCAAGGAAGAGAGTGGAAGACAGAGGTCACTGCTAGATTAAGTTTTGAGTTGCTGCTTTTTCACTTTATTTTAGTTTGTTTATTAGATCAATAAACTTAAATGGCTAATTTTTTAACTGTTTTGTGCATTGAGCGTAACAATGAAAACTTATTCTAAATTCAAACACCTTGGAAATTAAACCATTTAATTGCCAACAAGCTATTGAACTATTCCACTGTTTTTTACCAAGCTCACACCCGGTGTATTCTCATCTCTGGTTTTAACTTAATAACACTATTTGTATATGAATAAAAACGATAATCGACCAAAATTTAATCGTTTTTAATTATTGAAATGTCCTCGCCCTCAAGACGTAATGGTTGATTTTGTAGGGAAACATAAACACCCACGGCTAACTTACAAAATGTATTCATATCTCTGTAATACAAGTTTATGGGTATAAAACGAACGTTACTAACAAAAAAACAATGATATATATGTATAAAATTGCGCGTAATGCAATTTAAATGCTAGGCTATACGTATGAGTACTTGCCAATTAATAATAATAATATGACACGTAACACTATTATAAAAATGTTAACCTTTTAAAGGAGATTCGGTATACTCTTAATTAGCTTATTTTAGTCGAGAACATGAATTTCTATCAAACGTCTCATATTTTCAGGAGGCAGTTAAACAAACACTTCAAAATACATACTTTCTTATCATAATAAATGCTAAAGCAGGATATCAAATACTGGTCTATATAGTATTGCCATATAATTCCAAATTTTTTAATAAATGTTTGCAGAATTGTTTTCAATTATTTTACTTGTGTCTTTATCAGGCAATATTTGTTGTCATTAAATAATGAGTATTTTTGTAATAGACGAGGATTTTTATCATTGCTTCTAAAATGCGTAAATAGGTCAATAATATAAGGGAATAATGAATACATGCGTTAGTACATTGGAATAGTGAAATCCTACGGATTTAAGTGAATATCGTGGGAACAAATTGCATTTTTATACGATGTTACTGCATCAGTGGAACATAAAGTACCCAAAAATCTGCACTTATTCCGTCTGTTAAAGTTACCGTTCTTATCAATTAATGACCGCATGAACGATTAGTTGCATAATCCTAATGTTAAGTTACTGACTTAGAATGGGAAAATACAGTCTTTTTGTTCATTGTGGAAAACCAACTTGTGTGCTACGCTATTAAATACCTATACAAAAAGTTTCCATTCATTACTGCTAGGAACTAGGTTACAATAAGACAGATAACAGTAATAGGATGCCTAGTTGGTGGATATATCTATCTACAATACCAAAATTAATTGGCAAAGTTGCTCTATTTTGGCCTTGATTTTGCAATTTGCTTACAAGTTTGTGTGTTTTGAAATAGTTTTACATGAAAATTTTAATAGTAACCTATCAGCATGTATTTACCGCCAAAGCTCTCCAAAAATTCAATGTAGAAAGGTCCTTAATTTAGTAGTTATGTAAAAAAATCTATTCTACTTCCTGAGATTTTCGCCTAACTTAACACCAACAAGTCTGCCTTAAAGTAAAACTAGTAGATCAATACAGTTTTTGTTACAATACTACGTCAGTACATACAGTCACAGGATGGAGCGTTTATACTTACTGTTTGATCATAATCACACTGCAAATGTTCGGGCTTTTACTCAAATTGTTTCCGAGCTAATTCCAGTTTTCTTTGGCCAATTAATGACTACCTTATCATCTCAAGATATTTCTGCTTGTGTTTGGCTAACATTTCCGTTACAGTCACCAGAGTTTTTATGGACTGATTTACCTATCAAATCCATATTAGTGACTAATTTTAACGATTTTTTCAAGTTACCTTAGCTACAGCCTGCAACTCGGTTAAATGTGCTACGCATATGTGGTGTAACGTAGCCAACTCTTTGGCGGTATCCGGCTGAGACATTATCCTGGATTCGCCTGGATCACCAACAGCCGATAACTGATCCAAGAACACAACCATACGTTCCTTATTTTTTAATATAAAAGGGTTTACCACTTCCATATAAGGCTCCTATAAGTTAAATATTTAATTAGACTTTGCCCTGATGTTGAGCATATGCTTGCTTCTTACTTTTCCCCCGAATTCAATCAAGTTCGCTAAATTTTGTAAGCATTTTGCTACCATTACTAAACTTCTAGTAGCTGCGGGACTGGGTTGTTCACTCACTAAGCCGAACTGCCGCGGGTTAAGTAACGCTGGGCACAACAATCTGTTTAAAATAGATAAAACATTTTTTTTCGAAAACCGACAAAATGGGTTTTGTTCGTACCTTAAAAAAATGAATCCGGAAACAACCCTAGTGCGAACATGCCTTTCGTCGGGCCATTTTGCAACTGCCGCCCTTTGGAGACAGCCGCATATATACCGAACAGGGCGCGGACAAGCGTCAGGAGAAGTGAAAATGCTTAAAGTTACCTGGTCTAGTACCTAAATTCAATTCACTTATTAGAACATTGGCAAAAAACATTCCGCTCAATTTACCTGAAGCAAAAACTCCGCGTTATTGCAGGCATCATCGAGGGAATCCATTTTTGCTGGGTTTAATTCGGCAGATTGTTTGCTCTCTAAAAGCCTCAGGACGATTTCTAATACTGCAGCCTGTAAATTTATATTTTTTTACTCTTCTTATACATGTGTATACAGGGTGATTCAAAATTGGCGTCATTCCTCTGGGGTTATTTTGGGAGTACAGGAAAAAAAGTAAAAAAAAAAGATATATTTGCAAAAAACTAGATCAGAAGGATGGCAGCAATGTAAGGTAATCTGCCTCATTACCATTACGTAAATTCCTGTTGCTTCTCAATTATTTCAAACTGTTGGCAGTCTGTCCTCCAGTGCCACTTTTCACACATTTTGAGCAGCTTCTCGTATTCGGTTATTATAACCGATATATATTATAACCTCGTGCTCAATTTGTACCGGTGTTGAGTAAACCAGAGATTTAATGTGTCTATCTGTGGTAATTTTTCTTTTCAAATGCTTGAGTATTTCAATAAGCTACATATCAAACATAGAACCTTTTCAAAATAATACTTAATAACAAAGTTGAAATTCGATTTTGAACTGTTAATATCTTCTGGAAATTTTCGAAAATAAATGTAACTATATTTTTCTCGTACTCTCCAAGTGATCCCCCAAGCACAATAGGGCAGAAATGACAGCGGGGCAAGGCCAAACACCACCTCGGCGGTGAGGAAAGGGTTTTAGTGGGTAAACAGCTTAGCTGCAGTCCCACACAACCCAGAGCGATAGGCCACTAGCTCTGGGAGTGCATAAAAGAGCATTTCCCAAACCTCACCGGAAAAAAAAGTGAGCCCCTGTCACCCCTTAAAAGGAATAACTCCAATTTTGAATCACCCTTTATATCGAATTCTATCGATCATGCAATGATCTGTTGCTTATCTGCTGTTCCATGAGTCTCATGAAAAATCGAGAATTTCGTTCATTAAATCTAGTCCAATTTTTTTATAACGTGCCGTTAATTAGACCCGGACAAGTGAAAATATCAATTGAATTCAAAAAAGTTACAACTTGAATGACGCAATTGATTCTACAACATACAGTTATGTTTGCAAAATCTCTTTGATTTTACAAGTAAACTGATGTATTTTTTTAAATCAGCATCTGGCTTCTGTTTGTTTCTAATTCAATTTCGCCTATTACAACCTGCTTTCCCAGCTATAGGCCAGGCGAATAGAGTGTTTTCACTTTTTTTAACGTTGATATATAGAAAGTAGTTATGGCAAACACTGATCTAATTTTTTTTTGCAAAAAAAGTCTCCATAATATTTTTAAAGCAAACTTAAATTCAAATCAGATATTTTCCGCCAAAAACGCCGAATCCGTATCGTCGGTTGCCTATCCCGATTGTGACGTAGCAGGTCATATCAACAAAGTGTCTCGTGTTTATTTTTGTTGTTTTCGCAGCTTTGTTTTATTATTTATGTTATTGTGATTACAATTATTTTATTGATTATTATCTTGGATAATGGAAAATAGTGACATGTATGGATCGCAAAATAAGTGGTGTTTGTGCCAGGATGCAAGAATCCCTCAACAAGTGCTCCAAACAAACTCTTTCTAACCGTTCCCCATGATAATGCACGTAAAGTTTTATGGTTCAAAGCAGCTAGACGTGATGTTCCTAAATCAAAATCAATGGTTTTTTGTTGCGAGGAGCAATTTAATGAAAGTACGAACAAAAAGCTAATGATGAGGCAGACAGAATATGCCTTCGGTTGTACTCTGTGTTCTGAGCAAATTCTACCTTGTACTGTGCGCAAAGGACCCTCGCGTTTCAATTCCACATATCCGATATCACCATATTGTTCTCGTTATGCCCAAAATACAAATTTAAGAGTTCATTTTACTTTTAAAGCAGCCATGTGTATAGGTTAGGTTAAGTTGAATAAGTGAAACCCCTTAAAAGGAATTACGCCAATTTTGAATCACCCTGTATATTATTTATCTACTTTAAACCAATACAGACAGATTAGTATATTAAGGAGAGAGTAACTAATAATGAATTTACGGGTTTTTAGTTGCTGCTGCTTTGAGACCCTTAAATTAGGCTGAATTAAAGCGTTCGTCGTTTTTTAAAAATTCGGTAACCATAAAAATATGTACACATGGTAAATTGTTTGTTGACGCTTTAGGGAATCCTTCTGAAGCCATTTTTTAGTTTAACACAAATTATAAATTATTTAAATCGACAAAATAATTAATGAAACAAAACCACACAACTAAGAACTATGCACAGAACGTAAACAATCCCATTTTCATGACCAGAGACGTCCCAACCAATAGGATTGCGTTTTAGATATTCATGAGCCGCAAGGCTCTCGTATTGTATTGCAGTCAAGTAATATTTAAAATATCTTGTTTTTTACCTACTTTTCTGCGCTTTCGAGCATTTTGCAGCGAACATTTCAAATCTACGGATATCGGACCAACTCTATCTTATCGAGCATATCATAGCGAAGAAATTGATCAGTATACATTTTTTCTCCAAAATGTATACTTACATACAAATGCCATCATATCTATTAGTAAAATCTGGATGCGACTAAAACTGATACTTACTTGCAAAAAGCCTCCACATTCGGACTTCATGTACAAATCCATCAGAGTGGTTGCCAATGAAGCTGCCCTGAATAGAGTACTAGTCTCAGTCTCTCTTAATATCTCTGCTGAATTCAGTTCCTTCAATAACTCGGTTTCGCGTCCCTCGGCCCTAAGATCAAATCAAATTAATTTAAAAGGGTTTTTAAAATTTTGCAGATTTACACCTAATCGCTTTGGGACTTACCTAAAAACTCTCAATAATGCGGTAGCCAAAGGTGCTCTGTCTGCATGGCACAGTTCTGCTAGTGTTTTCACTGGCGCTAGACCCAATTCTAGAAGTAACTGTTGCAAAGGGCTGTATTCTTCTGCAGGCATTACTAAGTCGTGCAAATACCTAAAACACATGTTTTTAAATATTTGCTTGTTAAGGAGATAGTCAACTTTACCTAGTTCTCAGTCTTAATGATCCCCATTCTCCCATTGGCGTTAGACCAGATAACGCGTACCATTCTTCGCGTTCATCGCCATTTCCTAAAAAAAAAACATTATTAACTCGGTTCCAGAAAATTTAAGTCCATTTACCTAAAGCCGAAAGCTCAACATGTAACTCGGCTACTTCAGAATCCTTTCCTCGTTTTCCTTTGTTATGTACAGTGAGCGAAAATGATACTACATCGCATGGCACATCGCTACAAAAAATCAACAAAACCTGCATTGAACGTTTTCAGTCAATTAAAAGGTGATTAATTAACAATGGAAATAAAAAATCCAAAGCTGAAAATATTGCATACAAAATGCTGAGCGTTGTCATATTAAATAAATTTAATAATTAATGAAGAACATTAGGCTTAGAAGTAGAAAGTTATTGGCTGTAAAAGTCGACTAAATCAGTCATCTCAATGAAAACGCCCAAAATAGATTTAAGTATCAATCAAAGTATAAACTTTGGGATTTGGCCTGTTTCGGCTACTGTTCATTTTTTAACATGTAGCATCTTGAACTGTCTTCAACGGGATTTCCCATTTTTAATAAATTTAACTATGTTTATTATTATCATAAGAACAATAACTCTAATAAGTAAATGTTTTTGAGTCTCATCCCAAAGTGAACAAAAAAATCATTATGATTTTAAATAATGTCAATAGGAACATTATTGATTTCAAAAGTGAAACAATTTTCCGTGTTTAAATCTGATTTGATATTTTAAAAAATATCTGAATATGGTTTCAAAACCGAAAGCATTTAAAGCAAATGAAGCAAGAATGAAGCAAGAACTTTGAACTGAAGCAAATTCAAAAATAAAAATTTTGGCAAAACAACTACAACTCACTCAAATATAAACTCTTCATCCCATACTGGATCTGGAGTGCTTTTAGCTCTTGTTCTGGCCATTCTCACTTGTCCATTGAACTGAATAGTTACATAAGGCATGGGAACTAGCTTGTACGGCAGTCTATGCGCGTCCAAAATATGAAGAGTCAGACAGCGAAGTTCCCTTAGCCTTGGCACCTAAAAATGCAAATGCCGATTTCGATAAAACTAATTTCAAAATCGCGTTTCAGACCTTAGCGGTGGCTCTGCTCAACTGTGGAACACATAAAGGTTTTAAAGCATTTGCCCACTCCTGACACTCCTCTGGAGATCGGGCAGCTAAGTGGGTGATTGTGGCCAAACAAGGCAGTGCTCTTTCAACAACTTGAAGACAATTTGGTCTTTCCCATAGGCTGTCGTGAACCTAAGGGTTTTTAATTTAGCGACAAAGTTTGACGGGAAAAATCAACGGTTCTTACTTGATACAAATAGGCACAAGACAAATCAATCAGACCCTTCGGCTTAGTTCGTTTGGGGTTTTCGTAGAAGCATAAGTGGGTATCGGTGCCTTCTACTAGCAAGACGAAGTAGAGAAGCTTCCACTTTTTGGCCCCCTTGTCGGATTTTCTATGAAGATACCCTTGATGCTAAAATTTGCAACATTAATACTGATTCGATTGGTGGTTATTCGAAGGCATACTTTAATGCCTCTCATTTTCTTTAATCCGGCCTGATCTCTGCATTCCCTGAGAGTGGCGTAAATTTTCTCAGCCTCAGATTTAGCCTTTTGATTCTCCGGTACCCAATCCAATTGCTTACTGCCATCAACTACCAGCTGAGAAAAAAACATTGAGATATTATTTCAACGATTAACTCAGCCCCAAAGTCACATACGGGGTGTTGTAGGGTATATCCTTCTACTATTTGCTCCTTCCTGTATCTGTTAATGACTGCATCCAGGCATTCGAATATTCTGCCCCCCATGAGATACCTGCGATTATAGCCAGATGAAAGACTGGTGAAAAAATCAGCGTTACTGTTGGTTTTACCTGACGCCCTTTTTCTCGATTCGAAACCGCTGGATTTGGTTATTAATATGGAAAAATAAGGAATAATCTCCCGGGGAATTATCGCTGGGTCTCACCAAGAAGCTTCCAGGCCCGGCTGAAATTACACGAGAATTTAGTTGGATGAAAACCCAGCAATTCAGGCACTAGCCTTTAACCAGTAAGTCCACCGCTTCGTTTTTGGTGCAATTCGGATGAAACCACGGAAATACCGTGTTTGGGTCGATACTGTCGTCTAAATCCTCAACAAGTTCTTGAAATATCATTCCTGGAAATATGGCAAATATGTCAGCACTGTTGGTTTCGTTATGATCTTGCTTATTACCTTGCTCGCCAGTTCGATGGGCGGTCACCCACAACCAGCCGTTATCCATGTCGTTGTGAACGAAGAAAATATCACCTTTTTTAAATGTCAGCTCATCTGTGTCCGGCATTTTTGTATAGGGTAGTATGGCTACTACCCTCTGGAATTTGGGGAAAATTTCGGTTTTTTGCTATTTTTATATTCAAAGTTGTTCGCACCTTTTTATCATTGACTGGTTCAGGCGGCGCAACAGGGTGTACAAGTCTCTCCCTTTTTAGTAAATCGCTGCACTCCGTGTAGTATCCTACTAGGTCATTTAGAGAAACGAATTGCCTACCTCCTATATAAAAATCACCACACACAGCTGTTATCCTATAAAAAAATAAAAAAATTATCGATTGTTCAAACTTATACGAAAACGAAAACCTACCGAAAATGATTCATCCCAGTACGACCCAAGTAGGACAAAACGTATGATCCAGGTTTTCGGTCGCTTTCCCTGACCAAGTACGACCCTAATTTGTTGCAATTCCATAATCTCTCCTCTGCTTGATACCTGTAAAAAATCAAGGAGAAAAATGCAAAGCTTGTGGAGGTTTTCATCATTTACCGGTCAAGTCTTCCGTGGTACCAGAGGGATTCAGCAGGGGCATAATGGGCTGAATCGCCCAAATCAGGGTCTTCAGGCTCCTTTGCAAGCGCTCCAACGGGTTCATTCGGTTCATTCCCATCATCGCTTCCAGTACTAGGAGAACCCAGTTGTTTCTCTTTATGTCTCAAATCTGCCATGTCCTTAAATTACTGGAAAAAAATTGAAAATCAGTAATTGAAGAAATCATGTTCATAGAATTGGAACGGAAATAGTGCCCGGTCATTTTCAAGTGATCACAGTTATTAGATGTCGAGAGAAAAGTAGGTATTTCGACGATGCATCCAGTAAAATAATAAAAATAATGAACCTCAGAAATTTGGACCGGTTTTTAGAAGGATAAATAAAGGAACGTGTTTTTCCCATATAAAATCAATGGGAAAATTGAGGCCTAGTATACAAGAGTGTCGGTTCCTGGCGAATTCCAACACCCAAATGCGTTTCGAAGACACTTTTTTACGAGGCCTTAACTATTTTCTGTGATGTTAAATTATCATATTGTAGGTACCCAGTGCCTTATTTGCTTAAGGGCCAACTGCACCGTCTTCATCATAAGCGTCACTTAGCTAAGTGTCACTTAAATATTTAAGTGACACTTAAAACTAATCTGCTGCACCGTCCAACTTTATCATCCGCTTAACTAAGTTCCACCTAGTTCAAGGATTTTTGGCAATTTTAGGGGATTTCTTATCTGCCTATTTGCGTACCTGCCTAATTTGAAAGCTTTTGACAGAAACGTTAGCGAGAAAGCGATCGTTGGACTTTAGTTTTGAAGACGATTGGAAGTGTGTGAATTTGTAGTGTTTTGAGTGGGAAAATTTTTTATTAAATGGAGTCAGAAAATATTCAGTCTCCAAAAAGAATGCGAACTCCTAACTACACAAGTGAGGAGAAATATCGTTTGTTAGAAATATGCCGCGATTACAAAGGCATTATCGAGAACAAAC